TGTAAGTATCTTTGTTGCTTGTATTTAGAACCCTTTTGGAATGATTGCTTCTCAGAGGTGTCTTCCAGATATAGCTGGTCTTTAAGTTTTGAGTCTCTGATGACTCTGAGGCTATCTCATTTTCATTATACTAAGAAGGATCACTGACTAGATCGATAATAACACTTTAGCCCAAGTGATACAATCAGCAACACCATTGCATCAAGTACATCTTAAAAAATGACGTTTTGTGGCAGTTATTAATCTATCACCTTTAACTGTGTGAATTAAATCAAAGTCGAGGACCAACCCAACCTATGTTTATACTGAATAAACTCTTCAATATATCAACTTTACCCTTTGGGATGGGGAGTTAGAAGGAGTTGGGGAGGAGTGTCAGATAGGTAGAAGAATAGGGGAGGGTTATCAGTGCGGCCAGAGGACACAGGCGAGAAGGAAAAAGAGAATAAAAGAAAAGTCAAGAACTCCAAATGAGGGCCAGAACAGGGACAAAAAGGAAGATAATATGGGACAGCAAGAGTGTTAAGTGTAAGAGAGAGAGCATAAGGAAAGAGAAAAGAAAGAAGAAAAACGAGAGAAAAACAAAAATTTGCAAAGAGCAAAAGGTAAGAGGAAAAAAAAGAGGAAAAACTCCCCAATAATACTAATTTTGGAATTAAAAAATAAAAATGAAAATGAAGGGCCTCCTTCAGGGTATGTCTTTGCTGTCACAATAGACAATGTGGGCCCCAGGGTGCATATATAAGTCAATGAGTCTCAGCAAGCCAGTCGCAGACCCGTGAGATTCAGGCAGATTTCTGGCTGCAAGTCTCAAGTTGAGCTCCCTGTCCTGCCGGTTTGAACTCGGCAGGGTTGTACTGCAGGTTCCAGCTGCGCTTCCCCTGAAGATAGTCCCGATTCCATTGGGAGGTGATGATTGCTCCAACTTACCAAGTACAGTTGTCTGGTGGTCCGGTGTCCTCTGTGTCTTTGTAGTGTGGAACCAGATGGCGGTACAGCCTAGAGGCCAGAGGAGCAGGGGAGGGGGGATCCAATGGATTGCTGCTGGGGCGCGGGCTGGATCAGCACATTCCACGTGGGTGGGGACCCTCCAACTGGCCCGAGATTTTCCTTTGAGTGTGTTTGTGTGTGTGTGTGTCATGTGATTTTTGACTGTATCCTTGAAATTTGTGGTATTGTGCTATGCGAGTCTGGATCTTGTATATTAAAGATGTCTGTTGTACACATCTCCTCTGACCGTGCTGGTAGGGTAAGAAGGAAGTATCGAATACTGCTACCACGAGGGGGGTGAAAGTTGCAGCTTCCCACTTCTGACCCCACTGACATTTCACAGGTGAAGCTGGGAGCAGCACCTGTTTATGGCTGTCCAGCGGTTTCTGCTGGGGGAAGAGGAGAGGGGATGTCTTGTTACTCCTGGCGATGCTGAAGGTTTGGCTTCCCACTCGTCACTGACTGAGTCTTCTCAGATACTCCCTGCATTGGGGAGGGAGGTGGAGTCTTGTATCTGGACAAAGATAGAAGTCTAGGTTCCCCACTCGGCCTTAGCTAATAATCGGTGGCTTTTTGAGCTTTTTCTGCGTGAGTGAATGAGCATTGCCTTGTCACAATTATATGCTAAGTCACACATGGACTTGTCCACAGCTTCTCAGCTCTTGGAGACGTTTCTCTTTTCTTTGCTGTAAGGTGATCCTGGGTTGCTACTTTAATGTACTGTAGTGTATAATTTCATAATTTACAATTCTCACTTTATATTTTGACCTAAGGTGCTCTGGAGTGGTCTCTTATTATTAAATCATAAAACTTCTATTTATTCACAAGGGGTGGTATTTAGGGTTACTCTGGATAAAAAAGAACAATTGACATTTTTAGATTACCTATGGCTCTTGAGTTTTAACTCAGTAAATTGAGTCTAATTATTTTGTTTATAAAAAGAAAAAATTTAATAACTTAGTTGGCTGGGAGCATGGTTTTCTTTTACACCCTACTCCCTTGTCTCAGATGCAAGTCATAATGTTTAATGTAAATTTGTGCATAGAATTTTAAGACCTCTTAAATTTGTGGCAGTGAAACTTCAGGAATCTATTCAAATTTTCTTAGACTATTACGTTATTTTCCTTTAGCAGCAAAATACTTACAGAAAGCATAGATTTTTTTTTCTAAAATTGTGCTTTGTATTTTTTCTCAGTATTGCTTTGCTCAGGAAAAGAAACAATTACTGAAGCAAAACCTTCTCTTCAGTTATTATTGCTCAATTGTTTAAGACCCCTGGCTTATGGTAGAACATAGAATTGTACAGATTGATGGAAGCAATCCCTGCTTTTTTCTAGATGTAGTGTTGTTAAAAAAAGTGTTTGCTTTAGTAAGTCTGAGCAGACTGAAGTAAATAGTCTTTGTAGAAGGAACTAGGAGGCAGGAAACTTTTGTCTCTGTACAAATTTTATTGCAGAACTTCGCTGCTAGGCCATCTTAGTCAAATCTCGTACTTTTTTGTTTGTTTATTTGTTTGTTTTTTGGTACTGGGGATTGAACTTAGGACCTTGCACTTGTGAGGCAAGTGCAGTGCCACTGAGCTAAATCCTCAGCCGTCATACTTACTTTTTGATTACAACAAAAGTACTCCTCTTTTCTAACTTTAACATTTTTTGCCAGAAAAAAATTAAATTTGTGCCCTAAATGTAGATATTGTGAAAACTGTGTACCTCTTTTTATTTAGTCTTAAAAATATCTGCAAACAATCGGCTTTTTAGCTGCTTTTGGTCTCAGAAATGTCTTAAAGAGAAAGCTGGAACTGCATGTTCCAAGTGCGAGAAAGCTCAGACTTTGTTTCTAGGATTGGCTGTTGTTTCTGCTACGAGTAAGAAACGTTTATTTTTCCCCCCTCAGTGCTCTGAATCTTAGCTGTCCTGCAGCTGGATATTCCAAGCATGCAGATTGAGACATAAAGAAGCCTCGAACGTGGCCGAGAGGACAGTATGGCACATGGACATGGATTAAAATAGCTGCAATTAGTAAATCTCACGTTTGAGAAATTTGCTGAAGCACGTGGATCTTCTGACTTGTCCCAGAAGCACAATAAAACCAAACCTGCTACTTTCAAAGTAAGAACTATGACAGAAACAAAACAAAAAATTGAAATAATTAACAATGGTTTGAAGTATAATTATTTGTCTCTAGAGAAACAAAGGAAGTCAAACTCATTTCAAATGTCAGAGGAAGACTCTATGGTACTTAGGCCACACAAACCATGCTGGAAGTTTCTACAGAAGACTTTCCTTGGGTGAGTAGAAGCCTTACCACCACCCTGATAATGGGCAGGGACTGTCTCTCCACCTCTGAACTGGTTCTTAGCTATAGCAAGAACTAGCAGAGTCCTTGCAGATTTTATCTTCAGTTCATACTCTTAAAATCTGACATGAAGAAGTGAGACAAAGCCAAGAATTACGTGGCCTTTAGCTGTGGAAATTAAGTCATCTCACAATTGGTTGCTAAGAATACTTGGAACTGGCAAGAAAAATGTAAAGCAATGTCTAGAGTTTTCCTTCTGTGTGCAATATTGATTTACTTCCTTGCTATAGACGTCATTCTGAGGAAGATTGGTGTGGGTGAGGGAGAAGTGGAGCATGAGTATCAGCCATGATCTGTTGTTGGCTGCAAAGCCAGGTACCTCCGGAGCTGTTGGAGTAACCACTAAGAAAATCAGGTGAAGTGCATCCGCCCTGTCCAGCTTGTTGGTTTCACTGGTTTCCCAGTGGGGAAATCCCAGCCCTGCAACACACAGCGAGAGAGGCGGCCATGTGGCTGGCTTTGTGTTTGTTGGCTCTTGCAGCTCATCCCTGTGACCCAGGAGATGTGGCTCTGGGTTGTGGACAGAGGCTCTTGGAAGTACTCCTGTTGGTAGGTAATTTCAGTCTTTGAAACCCAACCAACCAACTGGCCAGTCAGTGCACCCTCATGGGTGCTGCTGGAGCTGGGAACGTCCTCTGTCCCGAGACCCCTGCCTTCCTCAGTGAGGTGCTGTGTGAACGTGGACCCATGGGAAGGGGATATTCCATAGGCTTTGCCATATCCAGGATGTTGTAATGTGAAATTTACAACCACAAATATTATTCTCACTTTTTAAATTAAAAAACAGACCCAGAAATACATGTGAAAGGTGAAAAGTTAGTCAGTTACTCTGGGACAAATCCTGTTTTGCTTTTTCACATAACTTTCATCTGTTAGCATGAAGGCTGTACCTTTTATTTCCAGTTGACCTTGAATTTGGAACATTTCAAATGATACCCTTGAAAACTTAGAAGTCAAGTGGAACCGGCCTGCTAATTTGATGACGACGAGGCCTTCAAGGTGACTTTAAAGGAGGGCCAACTGCTCACTGAGGAACGTGGAAGGGAGGGGAGAGATACGCCATAACTCATCTCGAGAGCCCCAGAAGAGTTATCATCTCATTCTCTGAAGCAAGTAGGGCCTCCAGAGATGGGGAGGTGCTCTGGGATTAGGAATAACCCTGGGCCTTCAGCCCTGGGATTTCCCTTTCAACCTGCTCTGCTTTCTCATTTCATGATGCGAGTAGAGTGGCTGGCAGTCCCCAGGGTGGGCGAATGGTTCCCTCTGTGGCTCCACGCAGAGCTGGTCAGAGTGCTGTGGAGGGAGGGTGCCCGTCCTCAGTGCGTCCCCTCGGTGATCCCTTGTCACTGCCACCTCTGAAGCCTCTTGGCCTCACAGAGGGATGTGATAGGCAGCCTGCCAAGGACTACATTCGCAGGATTAACAGCAAGGCTAATACCGTGAGGTCCTCTGAGTTCACCACAGCAGCAGAGGCCAGGCTTGGGCCAGGCGTGGGCCTCAGAATCCGTGTCACATCTAGGCCTGGCCTGATGACGTCAGAGGCACAACGGTCCCATTGTGTTTGACTTGTGCTTAGTTGTTTTCACTCCATAGCAAGAGTTCAATTTATAATTTTAGTATATGGATGCTAAGCATGTGTGTAGCGGCCCCCTCCCCGCACCAGGGATTGAATTCAGGACCTTGGGCTTGCCAGGCAGGTGCAGCACAATGGAGCTACATCCCCGGCCCTGTCTAAGCGTTCTTTTCCATCTTATTTGTAAACTAGCTGAAACACTTCTAGCAGCTCTTCAAAACCAGATCCTTTGTTCTTGGCAGTTGTTTGAGTATTGCTGATTTTGTTTCTGCTTTTTGAGTAATGTGACCCCATTTTTGGAAAAATCGGATTAGGAAAATATAAAAGAAATTTGAAATATTCAGTCTTTTTGCCAGGTACTACCTTGAGTGCCATTTTTATGTATGTTCCGTGTAGTCTTCTCTACATGAGTATTAAAACCATGATCATAGACTATATTTGAGTGTGTTTCTTTTTTAAAAAATCATTTAATCATAAACATTTGGTCAATTTTCTTTCACTTTACTGAAAATATATTTAACCACTATTAAATGTTTTATGTGACTATATTTACATTAGTATTCTATTGCTGTGTAGCAGATTGTAATCAGAGGACTTCATTGCATGTCTGGGACCACTTTGCAAGCTGGGCAGTGCCTCTGCTTTTATGTCTGAGCAGCTCCTCCCGGCCCTGCACCCACTCGACCTCCGCTCGAACTGTGACCACTCCTCACACCCCCTCCTCTTTCCAGCTGCTCACTTCTGTGCCCAAGGCCAAAAGCAAAGTGTCAGCCTTGCTTAATTCTCGTCTGGAAGCCCTGGGAAGAATGCTTCCACACTGTACGTCTTGCTGTTACTGGTCAGTTCCTTGAGGGTGTAGGACTGACGTCTTCATTTCTTTACTGGGTCTTAGCTGGGGGCCGCTCTTGAAGGCCACCCGCCTTCCTTGACATGAGGCCTCTGTCCTCAAGCTAGAGATGGTACATTGAGCTGTTGTGCTTTGAACTCATCTGCTGGAGAGAACTCTCCACTTTGAAGGGCTCAAATGACTAGGCCATGCCCACGGGACGATCTCTCAATTTTATGGTCAATCTGCGTCACATAGGTAGCATACTCAGGAGAGCAAGATCCATTGCATTGACAGCCTCCAAGGGTTTTCAGGACATTTATAAGGTACAAGAAATCTTGGGGGCTATCTTCTATTTCCCCTACCATAACATTATAATTTATTTAAGTTTTCTTGTGTTTAAAAATTGTGTTTATTTCCACCTTTTTGTTAGTGTTATAAATAATGTTCTTGGATGGATATGTAATAAATGTTAATTTGATACATGGAAATGATACTTTGTAATTTTTACTTTTATTTTTCACAAAGTTCAACATTAACTTTTATGTTTATTGTCTGTTTGTATTTCATCTTCTATGAGTTATTTGCTGTTTTTTCTCATAAATATTTTTTCTGATATACAGCTCTTAATAAGGACCTCATAACCTAATAATTTTGTTACAAATAGTTTACTTTTCCTATGTACTTTTTATGTGCGTATGTGTCAAACCCATGTTTGTACAATTTCTTTCCACCTGTAGGATTGTATTCTGAAGGTCCTTTTGCACCCTGGGATGTTAGAAATATTGATTTATAGTTCTGTTACTCTTGTAGAATGTATATATATTCCACCAAAAATGCATACACACTTGAAGAAAAGAAAAACTTGTACTGAGGCATCATGAGATTAATACAAGTTACCTTTGGCCTCTACCGTGACGAGAGGCGCTCCAAGTGGTGGCGATGAGCTTTCAGGCTTGTGCTAGTATAGCAGACTGCTGCTTGGGCAGCCTTGGTCACTGGGCTTGCTGCACGTGCATTTTCACGTCTCCTCTAAGGGCCGGCAGTGCAGTGGGTTTTCTGTGATATGCAGCATCCTCTAGGGTCCCCATGCAAGGGTGATACCATCTGTTGGTAAAATACCATACTATTTTTCTTTTCCTGAAGTGTGTATACATTTTTTGGCAGACTTGGTACTTAAGTTTTAATTTACATGGGGTTCATTTTGATATGTAGTATTAGATATATTTATTTTTCCTCCAAATGATTAAACTGTGATCCAAATATTTAATGAATAACCCATCTTTGTCCTCTGATTTCAGATGCTGTTTTTCTACTTCACTCTTTCGGGTGCTTTTATTCTGTTGAATTGTTCTCCCTTGTACGTTATTGTCAGTATTTTCCTCTTATGATTTTTATACTTTTGCAATAAATTCAATTACTTTGTAATGCAAATTCTTCCTTGTAATATGCAGCTTTCATGTTTCATTGGCTGTCTTACCCTTATGCTTTCAGGAAATTTAGAATGCATTCAGTTTTCTGCTGGATTTTCTTCCCTCCCCCCTCCTATTCCTCCTTTCCTTCCTTCTTTCATCCTTTACCTGTGCTGAGGATTGAATCCAGGACCTTGCACAAGGCAGATGAGCCTTCTAACTCTTGAGTTACATTGCTACCCCTTTGGGCGGAATTTTATTTGAAGCATATTGATTTTATGAAACTTACTTTGAACAAATGGCATTTTTGCAGTCCATAGTTTTTCTATTCTAGAAATACGGTCCATTTCTTCATTGATTAAAATTTTCTAGTATGTTCCTCACTAATTTTTTCTGTATTTTTCTATTTTAAGAAAACTTAAAGCTTAAAAGAAAATTTACTGGAATATTACAAATATTTCTCTAAACCATTTGGGAATAAGTTGCCAGTATCATGTTCTGTCTCTGTTGAATGCTTTCCTGTGTAATTCCAACAAATAAGGACCTTTTATCCAACTATCAGAATAAAAATCAGGAAGTTAACATTGATATGTAACTGTAGCCATCGAATCCACAGATTTCATTCGAGTTTCACCAGTTTTCCTAGCAACAGCTTTCACACGGAGGGGACCCAGTTCATAATCATGTTCCTTTGATTGTCATCTGTCTTTAGTTTCTTTCAGTTTCGAGTAGTTCCCGAGGCCTTTCCATGACCTTTATAACCGTGACGCTTCTGCAGACAACAGGCCATTTTGGTGCGAAAGTGTCCGTTGCTTGACGCAGTTTGGAGCAGAGACACGAAGACGGTGCTGTCCCTGGGGAGGTGAGGTCAGTGTCAGTTCGCAGTAGCTGCAGATCGGCAGCGACTGCACACACAGAAGGGTGTTGCCCTGTGCACACTTCAGCTTCCACAGGCCACTCTCAAAAGTGAGCACTACTGTTGTCATCTCCCAGGGGAGGACACTGAAGCTGAGACAAGCTCCAGAGCCGCGTATGCCCTCGAACCCCATCTGTGTCCTTTCCAGCTGTGTGCTTTGGCCCCTCTGTGGCGCTCCACGCTGACTGCTGCCTCAACTGCCAGAGCATGTCTCTGCACAGGGCACAGGATCTCCTTCCAAGAGTGCTCTTCAGATCCAGCACTTAGCAGTCGTGTGGCCTCAGAAAACGGAGTGCAGCTTCCTTGGTTTCATTCGTTCACGGAACAGTTCATTCATTACCTGTGGCACTGGGGATTGAATTTAGGACTTCAACCCTCCCTTTCATTTTGCAAAATTTGGAGACAGGGTCTCACGAAGTCACTAAGTTGCCCAGCCTGGGCTCAGACTTTTGATCCCCTGCCTCACCCCTCCAGAGTGGTGGGATTACAGGTGTGCACTGCAGTGCCTGCTACAGTCACTTACATACCAGGCACTGCTCCGGCCGGCCCTGGGAGTGGTAATGATGGAAGGCAAACTCTGTGAGCTTTGTGTGCTGGAATTGCCTCAGTTTTGCTCTTAGTAAATCAGGGGTGATGAAGCCTGCAGTCCAGTTGCTGTGGAGGTAGTAGACTGCAGTGCAGTGCATCGTCACTTCAGTGCTGTCAAGAGTGGTGAGAGGGTCACACATGAGGCTGTCCCGGCTCTGCACTTGTCTGGGACTGAGCACTCCAACGTGCAGAGGTGCGGAGGCCTACCCCCGTGCAGTCCTTCCTCTTCACATCAGGGTGGAGACGTGAAGCTGGGGTGTGGTGGTCTCCTGAGGACTGCAGGACTTCGTGTGGAGCAGGGCCTGGAAGAGGCAGATCAGCGCCATCTGCTCCGCCAGTGCGTGCTTCTCTGCTCCAATTGCCCAACACTGGCCATAGTGATTTTCCACTAGAAAGCGAAGAACAAGTGAGGCTCACAAAGTACCCCAAGTTTCAGCGTGTGGAAGGCATTGTTGCCTTAGATTTCGGTTTGTCAGAATGCTCACTGCGTCAAAGGCCTGTCTAAAGTCCCCGTCCCTGGCTGATGCTCTATTAACTGCAGTAGAAAACACACAGCCAAGGGCTGGGGATGTAGCTCAGTGGTTCCACCGCCTGCCTCAAAAGCAAGGGCAAGGTCCCGAGTTCCATCCCTGGTCCAAAAACAAACAAACAAAAAAACACAACCAGTCAAAAGACAACACAGTTTAAGAGATGTAATATCTTAAGTGCATCATGTTTTTGAAAGCTGTTCGTGTTGAGAAATGGGGTAACCACCACTGGACATTCTACTTTGCCTCAGGGATACAGCTCGAGAGCTGCAGTTTTTACATACTTTGACTAAACTGCTCAGACTCAGTATTTGTGACCCTTTAAGTGGCAGTTAGTATTCGGACAGGAAATCTTCACTGTTCTCCTAGCATAAATATCACAACTTTGTACTGCAGTCTGTGCTCAGATCGGCTGCCTTCTCCACTGAACTGCAGAAGAGCAGGAGCAGGGTGTGCACAGGGCCACTGGAGCACAAGCCCGAGGCCCCCAGGGCGCAGGTTGCTGCTCATGGCCTGTGCCCTGGGCCCAGGAGGAGCTCGGATCTTAGGGCTCCCTGAGGTGCAGAATGAATCTTTTTTCAGGTTTGTCAGCATGAAGGAGGCAGGATGTGCCATAACCCTGGCACACAGCAGGTATTCAGCGAAGTTTACTTTCTTTTTTAAAAATCTGCTTTCTAAATTCGGCTTTCTTTGGTGGGTGTTTTTAAAAGCAGTTACAAATTAAGCAATGTAGGTTTCTTCTCTGGAGCGGGAGAGCCTGACCTGTGGGAGATAATGAATGCAAGTTTGTGGGCTGAACCGGTCGTGCTGTTTGGGAAAAGCTGTTTCGTGCCCCACTGCCCGGTGGGCAGAAGCAGAGGTGGGTTTGGAGGGCTGTGCTGCCCCCAGGTTCTGGAACAGCTCACACGGACAGCCGTGACTTCCCAGTAACATGCACGGGGTGGGAGGGTCATTCTCATTTTAATATTTGGGCCATTTGGGGCGCATGCTGTCTTTAAATCCACCTTCCAGGTGTTTGGCTTCATTACGTGAGCCTGGAGTTTAGGGATTCAGGGAAGAATTAAACATAGCCCTATTAGGAAGTCAGGTAGCAAAGCAAGTATCCGGTACACAACATGTATGTACACACATGTGCAGATACACGTGCATCTGTCTGTACATACACA